GGCAGGTCAATGTGGATGCGTGTTCTAGCTTGAGTCGGCTTGGTTGGCCCAGAATTGTATTGTTGAGGGATAGGTCGATTCGATCGTTAGTGAGCTTGTTAGTGATCTGGGGAGATCTATGAGTTGCTTTTCGGTGTTATGAGACGTTATGATTTGTTGGTTATGGGCACATATGGTGCGGTCCTATTGGGGTTTCATAGTGAAAGTCGAGCGGGAAGAGTAATTGGGTGTTGCTCGGTAAATGGAGTATTGATTATGACTTATCGGGTTGCATGGCGTATGTTATTTGTTTCATCGTGGGTGTAGTGAATTGCTTTGGTTTCAGACATCAAATTGTGCGTGGTTGTCGATTTTGAGCATAGTGACTTGAGGTGTTTCATGTGTGACAGTGTTTGGGATAGGAGCGCGCATTGTAGCGAGGCCATGTGGAGATATAACCTTTCGGGGTAGATTCAGGTGTTCTATTTCTATGATGTGAGACGGGGTCTCAGCCTTGTGTTGTGATGGTACTGATGAGCTTGAGGTACAACTCTTTCGTTTGAGTCATTTTTCATGATTTGAGTCATTTTTCATGATTTGAGTATGTTCAGACTGTTTCTTATTGGTGCGCATATTATGCAAGTTGTGGCTTAGACCTGTATTGAGGTGTCATATCACCAGAGTGGTGTGTTGTATTCGAGGTGATCGTTGGGGTCACTAATGAATACGAACGGATTTGATTTCAGCTTGTTGGAATGATAATATCGAGGTTCGGCTCGGAATCTGTTGTGGTATTAGTCAAAGGGGAAGTGGCTTCATGAATGGTTGATCTAAGAAATTGTTACGGTTCATTGCGTGTTTAATTTATCGTTGGCAGAATATGAAAGTGTTGGAATAAGACCTTAGTGGATAAGAGGTTTTCTACCAGTATTCGGGTGTTGTGGGCAACTGCTGTGAGTAGAAGTTATCGTTTCGAGTGTTTGGGTTATGTAGAATATCATATGATTACACCTGAGGTTGCAGGTATGGGTTATTACAGATGGTTCAGGCTCATTCTGAGTATAGATGTGAGGTTCTGATCTTGTGTATGATTTCGGAAAGTGCAATGCGGTTCTATGGTTTATGGACTAGATGGATTGTGAAATTTCAGCTACGTTGTGTTATCGGACCTATGCGAGATAGGGTGACGTGGGATCACCCCCGGGTATATGCTTGGTAAGGTCATTCAGCTATTGGTTGGCTTCTAGGACAACTCTGGGTACGCTCGAGGACGAGCGTTTGTTTAAGTTGGGGAGGATGTGACGACCCGACCCGGCGTCTCAGGAGTTACCGCCCCGTTTCCCCCATTTTATGCTTCTTCATGTTTCATTATCAGTATTTGGTGTGTTAGAGTTGATTTGGATTGGTTTTGGTAGAAAATGAGACACTTAGTCTCTTTAAGGAAGGTTTGGATTGGAAAAAGTCAACCGGATGTTGACTTACGAGTCAGAAGGCTCGGATGTGATTTCCGGCAATTCGGTTAGCTTCGGGGGATGATTCGTGACTTAGGAGTGCGATCGGAAGTGATTTTGGAGGTCCGGTGTAGAATTAGGCTTGAATTGGCGAAGTTAATATTTTGGCAATTTTTGGTTGATAGGTGAGATTTTGATCCGAGGGTCGGAATGGAATTCCGAGAGTTGCTTTAGCTTCGTTAGGTGATTTTGGATATGTGTGCAAAATTTCAGGTCATTCGGAGGTGTTTTGGTCGGTTTTTTGATCGAATGCGTGTTTCAGAAGTTTTTGAAGAACTTAGGCTTGAATTCGTTGTAATTTGATAGTTTTGGTGTTGTTTTTGGTGTTTTGATGACTGGAGCGAGTTTGAATGATGTTTTAGGACGGGTTGACACTTTTGGTTGAGGTCTCGGGGGCCTCGGGGTGATTTCGGATGGTCATCGGGATGGATTTTGGAATTTTGAATAGCTGATGGGCTGATATCTGGTATTTCCGCATCTGCGGAAAAAAGGCCGCAGAGGCGGCTCCGCAGATGCGGTGAGGGCATCGCAGGTGCGAAAGTCTGATCATGGGAGGACTTCCGCAGAAGCGGATAGTTGTCTGCATATGCGGCGTTCGCATAAGCGGTTATGGACCGCAGAAGCGGACCTGGAGGCAGCTGTGTAATTCCGCAGAAGCGGTAAAAGAACCGCAGAAGCGGTGATCGCAGAAGCGATAGATGTATCGCAGAAGCGGAAATGAGGCCTGGGCAGAAGGGTTTAAAATAACATTTCATCCGCGAACCCAAACCCATTTCCCACCATTTTTGAGCATTTTCGGAGCTACTTGGGAGCATTTAAAGAGGGATTCAAAGGAGATTGACTGGAGGTAAGTTTTATGAGTTATAAACACGATTATATTGTGGAATTATCCTTTAAATTCTTGAGAATTTGGCTAAATTGGAAGAAACTAGGGCATGGGATTTTAAGACATTAAATTGGGATTTGAGGGGCCATTTGTGGCCCGAATTGAGAGTTGTTGGCATGTATAGACTCGTGGCGAGATAAGGAATCCGATGATGTTAATTTTTTTGATTTTTCGAGAAGTGGACCCGGGGCTCGGGTTTTGCAAATTTCGAGATTCTTGCTATTTTTTGATTATTTTCGATTGGGTAATGTCCCATTGGCATATTGTGATGTATTCGCTCTGATTTTGGATAGATTCGACGCGCGTGGAGGCCGATTTGAGGAGCAAAGGCGTCACGAGCTAGAGATTTCGCTGGTTCGAGGTGAGTAATGATTGTAAATGATAGTGTGAGGGTTTGAAACCCCGAATTTGCACATCATAGTGCTGTATTGAGGTGACTTGCACGCCGGATAGCGAGCGTGGGGTAGAGCACCGTTGGGGATTGTGACTCGGTCCGTCCCGATTGATGAAATTACTGCGTATTTGACTGAAACTACTTGTTATCATCATAATTTGGGCTGATTGCCATATTTGGGCTTCGTGCCAATTATTTGAATCCTTCAGGGATTGATATCACTGTTTTCGCATTATTATTGCATATTATTTGATCTCGGTCCAAGGTTTTAAATACTGTTTTCGCAAACTCAGCCATCTTTCTAAGATTTGAAAACTTAAACAATATTTTATTGACGTTTTGATCTGAGAACTATTATTTTAATATTGCCCAAGAGGCTTATGTGCATTTCTGGACTGAGCATGGATCGGGCTGCGTGCCGCAGCAGTGTTATATTGATATTGAGGCCGAGAGCCTGGATGATTATATTGATATTGAGGCCGAGAGCCTGGTTGATGCCACGAGATGGCTTGATATTGCACTTGGGCCGTAGGAGCCCCTCCGGAGTCTGTACACACCCCCAGTGAGCGCCGTCAACGATAAATAAATGGATGGTTCGGGCTGCACGCCGCAGTGGGTACCAGACTGTACCGTCATATGCATTGCATTGCACTCATGCATTTGTTCTTATTTGTATTATCTGTCATAATATTTCTGTACTCTTATTTCATTGGCTTTTATGCTACTCCTTGCAATAATTACCTGATATCCTGGCGTTATCTGTTAACAGTGTTGTGCCCGAGGGGCTGACTTTTGTGCTTGCTTGCACTACTTCTTTCGCATTCATTTGCTTAACTGTTGGAAAAAGACATTTCAAAAGAGGTTTTAAACTGAGCCAAGATATTTCTAAAGATTTCACAGATTCACTATTTTCTCAGGGGTTTACACTGCTCCTATATAGCATGATGGCTTGCTTTACGTGATTTCTTACTGCTCAGTTGTTATTTACCCTTATTACTCACTGAGTTGGAGTACTCACTTTACTCCCTGCACCTCGTGTGCAGATGCAGGTATTTGATCACCGGTAGCGGGGTTTGAGCTGATTAGAGATTTTGTTATCGTAGCTGAGTCAGGTGACCGCCAGCGTTCGCGGCACCGGATTGCTTCCTTTTGATTCTAAATTCTATTCTATATATTACAGGCCTTGTAGTTGTATTAAAATCCTTCTAGATGCTCGTGACTTGTGACAGTCCGATTTGGGCTGTGTTGGGTTGTAATTTTGTTAATTAATATCATTAAATTATGTTTGAACTGTTTAACTGCTTAAAAGTGGTGTTCTAAAATGGTCCGGCTGGCCTTGTCTTCACGAGAGGCGCCATCACGACCGGAGCGGGGTTTGGTCGTGACAAGTTGGTATCAGAGCCTAGGTTACTAGGTCTCACGAGTCATGAGCAGGTTTAGTAGAGTCTCGCGGATCGGTACGGAGACGTCTGTATCTATCCTCGAGAGGCTGTAGAACCTTTAGGAAAACTTCACATTCTTGAATTCTTATCGTGCGTCCTTGATTCAGCTTGAAAAGTACCTCCTGAAATTCCTCCCACGC